CGGTGGTTTTGCCTCTGCGGTGGTCTCCCCTTCCCGCCTCCTTCCTCCTTCGCGTCTCTCCCTCCATTCGGCGGCGGGCTCAGGGGGGGACCTGAGAGGGAGCAAGCGTTCTCAAAAGGCGGCGGGGTTTCTCATCAGCCCTCGCGCCTTCTGAGAAGCCGTCTGCATCTTCGAAGAAGGTTTGGAAAGCTTCTCGGAAGGCGCGAGGGCGTCTGAGAAGTCCCGCCGCCTACAATCCACCTCCCGCTCTCGGCGAGCGTCTGCTCGACGCCTTCTGCGCTGCCCGAATCGCGAACATGCGATATCTTGATTTTTTGCCATGCGCGGTCCATAGAAGTCTCGACCCTGGCCAGGATTCATCCCGAGTTGTTTCTTACCGGTCAGGGCCTGGCGATGACCCCCGAAGGCCGCAAACGGCCAAAAATTTCCCGTCGTGATTTGTCGCGACGCGAGCATGTCTGGGTCCTGCCCCCGGCGCCCGAGGCGCCCGCGGTCTGGGCGGACGAGGACGGCGACGGCATCCTCGACGACGATGACGCCAAGGACCCTGGCCAAGACCGCTCGCGCGGCGCGGCGGAGGGCTGCGGCGGCCAGCCTCTGGGAGGCAAACCGGGGAGCAACTTTACGGGGGGAGGGGGGACAGGCTCCCCATAGGATTCAAAACGCACACGAACCTGAGGAAATGTTAGTCATGTTGGCCTCATGGGCCTCCTGGGGGTCCATCAAGGCCTTCAGACGGCTCAAGGTGGCTTCAAGTCGGTCCAAGATGGTCCCGAGAGGGCCCAAGACCAAGACGACACCAAGACGGCCCTGGAGCGGGGGTGGATGGGCTCAGCGGGAGAGAGGTTAAGGTTCAAAGTTTTCGGACGTGTTCGTGGGTTCTCGTTGGTTTTCTAGCTTCGGGATGCGTTCCAGCAGCTGCGCCTCGCCCAGGGCGTTCCGGGGGCGCCCTGATCATCCAGAACGGCCGCCGGAGATCCCAGCTGTGACCCGAAATTTGGACAAGGATCCTTGGGCGGGATAGGCTCAGGGGGATGCATCGGCCCCCAATTGATCGCCTATGGCGGCCCGATAGCCCGCCCCGCCCAGGAGCTCGCGGATTTGCCATCGGAGGCCTATCGCCGACCTATCGGCGGTCCCCGATTCTGGGTCGATGGTTTCCCCCCCTGAGCAGGTCCCCCCTAATGTTCCCCCTCTGCCACAAGAGCATGAGGGCTTCTTCTGGAGTTACATCGGTTCTTCCTCCAGAACCTGTGGCTTCTGCTGGACCCATAAGGATGTCCTCGAGTTGTCCTGATACAGCCTTCTGCGTACCCTACTTGTCCTGATTCGGAGTGTAAGGCTTTCTTCAGGGAGCGTGTGCCCGATGTTCCTCATGTTCCATGTGGATGTCCTATCGCACTAACGTGATATCCTCACGAAGACCAGCGTTTTCTGCACGAGCCATGCGAACCTCCTGCGGAAACAGCATCACCACCTAAGGAGTCGTAAGGATTTGGCATGGAGCCATGAGGATATCAAGAGCCTTCAGACTGTCACACGGATGTCCAAAGAAGCGGTTCGGGGAGGGTACCCTAATGTTCGCCATGTTTGTTCAATGTTCGCGTGCATCTTGGGGGAGGGTACCTTTGGATGTTGTTGTGTGTGTGTGTGTGTGTGTGTGTTTGTGTGTGTGTGTGTGTGTGCGTGTGTGCGTGTGTGCGTGTGTGCGTGTGTGCGTGTGTGCGTGTGTGCGTGCGTGCGTGCGTGTGTGTGTGTGTGTGTGTGTGTGCGTGTGTGTGTGTGTGTGTGTGTTGGCCAGCGGAGGGTATCATGTTATTCAAGGATGTTAGTATGTCATGGGTCCGACCGTAGTTGGGCTCCAGTGGCGGTGCTTGTCGCCGCGTTGAATTGCATTGCGTTGCCGCGTTGCATTGGTGTGCATTGTGTTGGATTGCTTTGCGCTGCTCAGCGTCGCAGGACATTGCATTATATTGTCATGCATTGCGTTGTTTTGCAGTGCTTTGCATTACAGATGTTACACTTCATGGGTTACATCAACTAGATTGCACCACAGCGCTCGCACCACCTAGATTGCACTTCGTATATGGCAAAAACTCACTGTAGGGGGTCCACGCTGGCTAACATTACTCCTTGTTCGAATTGGTACCCGAATTGGGTGCGATTCGTCCATTTCGGTCGAAGTCCGCCCCGTATTCGGTCGCCCCCCCCCCCTCCCCATCCTTCTCCCCCTGCATCCATCCATCCCTCCACCCACCCCTCCCCTTCGCCTCCTCAGTTTTCTCCTGCTCCTCCTCCTCCATTCCTTCCCCTTCTAAATAAATTCTCCCTGTCACACCCCGAGGCCAATTTTCAGGGCGGGCCGGGCGTTTAGCTGGAGACTTCCTTGACCCTGAAGCTTAAACATTGGAAAGAGCTTGTTCTACCGCTGCTGGCGGAACACAGGGGAGGGTTCACTGGGGGTTCCCAACCCGTCCTCCCCTTCACCCCCCCCCCTCTC